CTGCCACCAGGCTCCCGTGCTTACCTGGGGTGAGGTGCTGGTGCCTGGGGAGGTGACATGCCCGGCAGCCCTCCAGCTGGGTTTTTATAGCCTCCAGATAGAGACAGAGCCCAGGAGAGCATTACTGAAACCCCTAACTCAGCACATGGTGGGGAGGAGGGACCGGGCAGAACAAAGGCGACGCTGCAGAGAAGTTGATGAGCCCGGACGCTGCAGATCCCGCTCCCCCAACCCACTAGGCACGGGCTTTGACCCCCAGCCCCATGGTGCTGGAGCTGGGGCATCGCACCCGGGGTCCTGCCATGTGCCCTGTCCCGGTGTGGCACGGGGCTGCGTCCGTGCCCCCAGCTCTGGGCCTGCTCCTCCTGCCCGCAGGCAGCACTGCCTGCTCCGTGCCTCGGCAGGAGCCACCAGGAGGTTTTCTCACCTGCGTTGCTGGGATGTAGGAGGAAAGATGCTTCTCCTCTTGTGGCAGCGCTTGCTGTCCTTAGTTAACCAGAGCAGCTCTCCCTGAAAGCCTAGGGCAGCTCTTTTGCAGGCTGCGCACACAGGAATCATGAAGCATCATAGGGGCGGGGACCAAGGGCTTGGGAAAGCAATGGGCAGGTTTGTGAAGGGGTTAGACTAAAGACACAGATTAAAGACACAGATCAGGATTTGGGAAGTGCTGCAGCAGCCAAGCGCCTCTATGCACAGGGATCTGGAAAGAGCCCATTGCATTCATTGTGGGTACCTGAATACACTCCAGCTTTCCTCATGGTGACCACCTCAAAATCATGCTGGAAGCGTGCAGGGCTCTGAGGACTGAGCACCTTGTGGAGTCACCCATGCAGCCTGCCCATCGGACCGGGGACCAGTGGGGCAGCAGTGAAAGGAGGCGGTTGGGTCAGATGACAAAACCCCTGTTCCCAGGTAGTGCTGCATTTTAGGGCAGCATTTGCCAGGAAACTGCTGGTGGCTGAGCTGGAGCACCTTCCTTTGCGCAGCCGCAGCCCCAGGCACCACGAAGGAGGCAGAGCAGGCAGCCCCGCAGCAGGGGAGGGGGGAGCCCACATGCCACTGGCTGCTCCTGGCCGCGGTGGGGCTGCTCTGGCTGTCCCTGACATTTGCAGCCCCCAGCAAACATGCGTTTGGCACAAATCGCCCCCAGCCTCTCACCGTGACCTGAGCTCAACTCAGCAGGCTGCCAGCCACCAGCATGGTGACCACAGCTCTATGACGTGCCCTGGCACGGGGACGTGGCCGTGCAGAGCCCAGGCAGGGTGTACCCGCGGTGCCACTCAGCGCCAGGCAGGGGATGCAGCAGCAGGAGCTCCGTGTGCTGCCGAGCTCATCAGGGCTGAACAAACCCCTCGCACTGAGTGTGTGCCCATGCCTGCGCCTGCCAGGGCCGAGCTGGGTCAGTTCCAGCCATCTGCTCTGGGGTGAGGCTTGGGCAGCTCTTTGCTGCCTTTGAGCTGCGCATCCCATGTGCCGCTCCATGCCGGGGTGGGACAGTGCAGCAAGGGGCTTTCCAGAGCACCAACAGCAAGGATGCTCGGTGGGGAGGGCTGAAATTTTGTGTCCAGGAGGGCTGAGGAACTGCCAAGGACAGATCCCTGCTGTCACCCCTTCCACAGCACCATCTCAGGGTCAAATCAGTGAAAAGTCCTTGGAACAATGGCCAAAGCACTGTGGAGCAGCCATCAGGAGCAGAGCTTGGTCCCTCTGAGGATGGTTTTCTGATGCCCAAGTCCAACAGTGCTGGGAGAGAAAGAGGAGGCAGGAGCAAGGCACCAGAACCTGGGGGTGAGTGAGACCTGCTAATTAACGGCCAAAAGCCACCAGTGGTTAAAAAAACCACCCTGCCTCTGAGAGGAAGAGAATGAGGCTGAAAATAGATAAATCTGTCTAAAATGGAAAGCCTTGAGTCAAACGGAAAACTCTGAACCATAAAATGCTGCCCAGAGTCAAGGTGAGAGCCCAGACTGCAGGGAGTGCTGAGGGAAAGCAAGACTCACTCCCCGCCGCGCCTGGGCATGGCACAGCCTGATGTATAACCATGGGAAAAGAAGAAGGGATCAATAAATGCTTTTTGTTTGGGATTTTGGGCAATAGCCCAGAGGGTGCAGCTGGATCCCACCACTGCTGGTTGACACTTCACGCACGAGGGGAGCAAAAGATGGTGGCAAAACTGAGCTTTCTGAATGTGCAGCTGTTGGCAGCGACGAAGAGCCAGCCCAGGAGGGGTGGTGCTGGATGCTGTGAGAGGCTGGGGCTGTTGGAAAGGACCAGGAGGAAACAAGTGTGCAGCTACTGACGTGATGGACGGGATCACAGGAGAGCAGCTGATCGGAGGCTCGGTAGGAGTCAGAGGAAGGTCCTCCCAAGGCGCAGGGAGCGGCTGTGGGATGCAGGAGACACGGCACAGCAGGCTGAGTCATCACAGGGACCAGTGCCCGGTGTGTCCCCCGCCAGTCCCCTTGTGTGTCCCTCTGCCTGCCCTGCCAGAGACAGCGCTGAGGCACTGAATCACCCACAGGGTTTGGTATCGAGCAGTGTGGTGATGGCAAAGCTGGAGATGGTGTAGAACAAACACGGCACAGGTTAAATGGGCTAAAAACTAGCTAACGCCCATGCCGGTGGGATATCCTCAAAGCAGAATGCCATTTGCAGGGACTGAGATGGTTTGGGAAGTGTCAGCTTCGATTACGTGCCTTTTGGGAAAAAAAAAACCCTTTGGGAAAAAAAAAACCCAACCAAAACTTACCCAAGCCACAACTCTTGAAACATTTCCAAACACTTAAATCTTGCATCGTGGCATCTTCAAGGGCAGCGCGCTCAGGCATTTGCGGGCACGGAGTGATGTTTAAAGAGAGAAATTCAGTGCTGAGAGGGAGGAAAGGAGCACAGGGAGTGCTGGGCACCGCGCAG